GTGGAGATGGGAGGAAGGACAGAAAGGGAGGTGCACCTGGGGAGGTCTCGATAATGCCAGACCCAGGCATCAAGGGTAGGACTGTGGCACCTGCTGTCTGGGAAGGGAGGGGGGGCTGGGACAGCGAAGCTGCCTCCAGAGTCACCCAGGCTGTCACCAGGGCTCTTTTGAAGCCCCACAGTGTATCCTGGTGCAATCTCTGAGCAAGCAGAGCTGGTCTTGTTGAGACAGGAACGGGCGCCCGCGGGTGAGCTGTGTGGGAATCCTATCAGCGCTTCTCATCAGCGGCATCAGAGCCTCCCGGCCTGGAGGAGCCAGACCCACGGGGCAGGAGGAATCGGGCCGGGACCAACGGGCCGGGAACCAGCGCTGGGCCGGCCGAGCGGCTGAGCAAGCACCCCATCCCATCCAGGGCATCCCTGGCCCTAAGGCAAGGCCAAGGTCGGAGAAGGGGAAGCCTGGCCAAGGGCGCGCAGCTGGACAGGAATCTACTCATTTCTGCACCCTGGCTGCTGGCTCCTGGAATTCTGCATCTGGGCTTCCACTTGCTGTTAGCCGCTGGACGGTGGGTGGCGGGGGCATGCTCTGGGTCACCCCCATAATAGTCTCCTTCCCAGGCCAGACTTCAAGTCCTGGCTCACACCGTTGACCTTGGGCCAATCACTCCTCTCTCTGGGCCTTTGTTCTCTTGGCCAATGGAGGTGATCATCGCCTAGAACCTAGGTCAGAGCTCAGAGGGAGCAAAGGTTGCAAAAACCTGGCTGGAGGACGGGGGCCGCCCTGGAGGAACCTATCCTGCTGGCGCCCTGTTTGAAATGGTCTTGCTCTCACTTGACTCTGGCTTCTTGTGACCAATCCCAGCTTGTTGAGCCGGCTCCCAGCAGGCCCTGGTGTCGGCCTGGAGAGGAGGGTCCCTGATTTCTCAGCGTCTCTGGAGGTTCCCGGCACGGTCGGTTATTCTCCTGTGCCTTCTTCCTGAGAAGCAGGAGTCTGGAGATTCCAAAGCTCTGGCCTGGGCCAGCCACCTTCTTCTCTGGGTCACGTCTGTTAACTGGGGCCATGACGTCACATTCATCTCAGAGGGACGTGGGGAGGATGAACTGAGGAGCCAGGTCAAAGCTGGCTCTGTGGACAGGTGGAAATTAGACAAGAATCACCATCACCTGAGGGTCCGTGTGCCCTGGGAGCTCTGAGATGAACGAGGCACAGTTGCAGAGACACACACACCAAGCCCAGGAGCAGAGGAGGAGTGGCAGACCCAGGCCCCTCACTGGGGGGTGAGATCAATAGGAGGCCTCCCAAGGGCCCCCTGTTTTCCCCAGGACTTGAGCTACCACCACCGGATTTACTCATTCCACGTTTCTTTACTGACCACTGACTATGTGTTAGGTGCTAGGGGTACAGCTGTAACCAAAATGGAGCCAGGCCTGGTAGCGCACACCTGTGATCCCCGAGGCTTGGGAGGCTGAGTCAGGAGGATCATGAGGTTCAAAGCCACCCTCAGCAAAAGCAAGACGCTAAGCAACTCAGTGAGACCCTGTCTCTAAATAAAATACAAAATAGGGCTGGCGATGTGGCTCAGTGGTCGAGTGCCCCTGAGTTCAATCTCCATTCCCGATAAAAAAAAAAAAAAAAAAACCAGACACACACACACACACACAAAAATGTCCTTGAATGGCTGTAGCTGACATTCTAGTGTGGAAGAACAGAGTGAACAAGAAAAGTGAGAAAGAAACATGTAATGTCAAGTGGAAGGAAAGGCAGAGCAGGGCAAGGGGCCATGGAGTGGGGACAACTATTTTATAGGAGCTGGTGTGGGGGGGTGGGGGGCTTCCTGAGGTGGTGACATGAAAGCAGGGACCTGAAGGAGGTGAGGACAGAAAGTGCAAAGGCCCTGAGGCAGAAGTGAGCTTGGCTTCTTGAGCAGCAGCTGCCACGTGGGTTGGCCCTGGTGCTGTAATGCCAGCTTCACCACACTCCCACGGCTGAGCCACGTCTGCCAGGTGTCTTCCTCTGAAGGGCCCTTCCAAATGAGGGGTGATCCCTTGAGACTGTATACGTGTTGACTTAATCCCCACAGCAACTTATGGCAGCTTAAAATCATGTCTGTAAATCTTTGACATGCTAGCCAAGGGTGAGGACGCACACCTGTAATCCCAGTTTCGGGAGGCTGAGGCAGGAGGATCACAAGTTCAAGGACAGCGTGGGAAACTTAGCAAGTCCCTGTCTCAAAAAATAAAAAATAAAAAGTACAGGGTGGAGCTCGGTGGTAGAGTGCTCCGGAGGGTCAACCCCCAGTACTGAAGGGGGGACTTTGTCATCCTATCTATCAAGAGAATTGGGGGCCTGCTAGGGCTGGGATGTAGCTCGGTTAGTAGAGGGCTTGCCTCACATGCACACGGCCCTGGGTTCAATCCTCAGCAACACACACACACAAAAAAAAGAATTGGGGTCTGCCATCCCCTTTTCTTGAATCTGAGCTCTGTGCTTGGCTAATAGAGTGTGTCACAAGTGTCTGTGCCTTTTTTCTGGCTGTGAGGAATTGGTGGCTTGCACTTTCTGTCTCTCTTGGGACATCGACTCTTGAAATCCAGCCACCATGCCGTGAAGAAGCCCACACATCCTGGAGAGAACCCCATGAGGAGAGAGGGACAGGGCCTCAACCCTGTGCTCCTGGCTCCCAGCCAATACCAGCACCAACCCGCCAGCCACCTGAGCAGATCCTGGTGCCCCACTGAGCTACCTGCCTGGCACCCTGGAGCAGAGAGAGCGCCCGCCCTTCCCACCCCCATTAATCCCCGTCCAAATTTCAGATACATGAGTAAACAGTTGTTTTGTGCCACTATGTTTTAGAGTGTTTTTTGGCTTCTTTTGGTCCGGGGAATTGATTCCAAGGGTGCTTAACCACTGAGCCACATCCCAGCACTTTTTATATTTTATTTAGAGACAGGGTCTCGCCTCACTAAGTTGCTGAGGCTGGCTTTGAATTTGTGATCCTCCTGCCTCAGCCTCCTGAGCCGCTGGGATTACAGGTGTGAGCCACCATGCCTGGATCGAGGGTCTTTTTTAACACAATAATAGTTAAATGGAACGAACCTTGAGTCTCAGGTCTCCCCATTTCACAGATGAGAATGGAGGCACAGAGAATCAAAGTCCACCGGAGTCTCACGGTTAGTGGGAGAGCTGGGATTTCACAGTTGTTTGTTTGTTTTGTTGTTTCCCGTTCTGGGATCAAACCCAGGCCCTTGCTGAGGCTGGGCAGGCACAGCACTCCACCCACTGAGCCACATCCCGGCCCTGAAGCTGGCTTCTTAATTTTGGTAAAGCCCAATTTGTTATTCTTTTATGGTTTATGTGTTTTTGTGCACCATTTTGGAACATGGTATTTTTCACATGGGACTGCAGAGCCTTTTTTGCAGGGTTCCGACTCCCCTGGCCTCAGCCTCCTGAGTTGCTGACAACAATGTTTGGAAGCTCCTTGGCCACACGGCCAACCTGCCCAGGCCCCTCTGTGAGCCTGGTGAGTGACCCGGACCTGCCTAACCAGTGTCCACGGCCGGCCAGCTTCCACAGACAGAAACCGATGATGTCACCCCTCGGGTGGCGCGAAGCTCTGGATCAAGGCGCTTCCCTCTGGAGTCTCCGAGGGAAGGCTCCTCCTGTCCTCTCCTCTTCCTCACTCTCCTCATCAGTGTCATCCAGTGGTGGCAGTCACTGGAGTCAGGGCCTGCTCCGAGCGCACGACGATCCCATCTGGAAATCTTTAGATCTGCAAAGACCTGGTTTCCAGGGAAGGTCACCTGCTGAGGTCCTACCGTACTGGGCAGAGGCCGCGGCCCAGAAGGCACAGGACCCAGAGTGCCCTGGCTGAAGAGTGGAGTCGCGGGCTTCCTGGGTGTGAGGTGCGGCAAGAGCTCTCGGTTAACCAGTGGGGTCACAGCTGGGGAAACTGAGGCAGCGAGCCGTTCATCACCTGCCAGGTCACACACTGCTGCGTGCTGGAGGACGCCGGGAGCCAGCCAGGACATGAGCCCGCGGAGTGTTCCTACCTGGGACTGAAGCCTAACAAACCAGAGGCAGGAGGCGTTTCTGAAGGTCCCTGGCTAGCCCCTCGGAGGGAAGGAGGGGCCTTGGGAGAGGGGATGACCCGAGCCAGGGCCCTGAGGCTGCGGGCCCCTAGCCCCTCTCGGTCCCTCTGCCGGAGAACCTTCTCCCCTGCCAGCCTGGGCTTCTTTGCACCTGGACAAACCCTTGGGCCCAGGTGGGTTGGTTTCAGGTAGAGAGAGATCCTCAGGAAGGACCTGGATTGGTCTGTTTTGTCACATGCCCAGCTTCAGCCCGCCACACTGCAAGGGGTTGGCTCTCTAATTGGTCCAGCTGGGGGGGTGGTGTCCAATCCCTCCAGGGAGGAGGGCAGGCTCAAGTGAGGAGCTGGTAACTCCCCCTGGGACCCCAGAGGGGGCAGCAGTGGTTCCCAGAAGAAGAAGCCCGCACAGGCAGGCTGGGTGGACAGATCTGGCCGCCACCCCAGGGCTTTGAGCAGGAAGCTCCGCCCTGACGCACTGTGGCCTGGGCCAGTGGGGGGCGGGGAGTGTGCCCGGACCTCAGGACGCTGTGTGCTCTTGTGCACACCAAGGAAGAGGAGGGCCGCGGAGCCGCACCCGCAGGGGAGAGGGAGGATCCGAGAGGTCCACCTGGCTCTGCTTTCTCACCACTCCCCGCGCATCTCCCCCTCCCTTCCTGGCACTTGCTGCCCCAGGAAAAGTGCGATGGCGGAAGGCTGAGGCCTGCCAACGCGAGTAGGCAGAGGTTCCCCACCGGGCAGAGCTCCTGGGGACCCACGGAGGAGGGGGGACACGCACCTGACCTCAGAGGCAGGCCCAGGGCAGGTGCCGGAGGGGAGAGGCCCAGGGAGCCCAGGGTCAGCACTGCCACTGGCCTGTAGGATGGCTTCCCCAGACCACGCTGGGCTTGGCAGGTGGCCAGGCTGGGTGCCAAGCTGCACTTACCACCTCTGTGCTCTCCTGCCCTGCTCCCTGGTGGCCCAGGTAAATGGTGGCCGGGGCTCCCAGGTAAATGGGGGCTACCAGGCCCCAGAGGGGTGAGGATCATCAGGCGTTGCCCCTTCTGGTTTGTGAAGATGGACGTCCCTGAAGACCTGACCGAGGACCAGCCCACCTGGTGCCTCACCCCGAAATCCTGACTCAAGAGCTGAAGTTGTGTTTCCCGCCAGACTGGCAGAGTGGGGCTTAGGGACTGAAATACCCAGCAGAAAACAGAAACCCTCCTTACACGACTACGTGCATGGAGCGGGATTCACGTCCAGCACGCTCACGTGACCTCCTGTTACTCCCACATTCACCCCGGAGGTTGGAAGCCCTGTTCCTATCGCACAGATGAGAAAGGTGAGACAGACTCAGAGGGGTCGAGGAACCTGCCCTGAATCACACAGCCTCAGTCCCGGTGCCAGCCAGCACCCCGTCTCTAACTCCGTCTCTTTCCTGCTTGGCCCTCTCCTCTCTGCTCATCCCTACTTTCACTCATTCCACAATTTTTTCGAGCACCATTTATAGCCCTCACACCCTGCTAGATCCTAAGGCATATGGTGGGGGAACTGGCCAGATGGATCGCGATAGATCTGCCGCGGAAGAGCAGAAACGTGCCCTGCTTCCTAGCTGTGTTGCCCTGAGCAATTGATCTAGTGCTTGGCCTCTCTGTGGCTCGGTCTCCTCATCTGTAAAACGGGGATAATAATGGTGCACACCCAATGGAGAGTTCTTGATGGGACCCAGCCAGCTGTGCTCCTGGAAGGAAGTGGGCATGCGTGGCCACCTTGAGGCCGAGCCTGCATTCTCACGGGAGACTCATCTCTTCTCTCCCATTCACTTACTTATCCAGCAGAATGGATTCATGATGTACAGTCTTGTAATCCAACACCGCACCTATTTGTGGCTCAGACTGTTCCATCTTTGGCTACTGGAGGTTCCTTCAGTTGTTTTTTGCCTTTTAATAGAGTGTGTGTGTGTGTGTGTGTTTAAGCACTTCCTTAGTTTCTGGACCCACGAGATATTCCAGGCTCATTTTGGGTCTTTCTTGCCAAACTCCCAGAATCAGCCATTCTCCCAGCAATCTCGGCTCCTTTAATTGCAGAATTGGAGAATGATATTAGGCGCCAACACTCCATGGGTATAGACTGTACTACGTATTCATGGGCTCATGGATATTTAGGTTGTTTCCACTATGGGCTATGAATGCATGGATTCCGCTTGACGTGACTGCAGCCATCTTGAGTGGCAACCACCATGAATGATGCCTCAGAGTCACCCCAGTCGGGTTTCCTGCATAGATTCCCAGCAAACTATGAAGGGACCAAACCGTCACGGTAGTATGTGGAGCCTTACGACTGGGCCCGGGCTCCTGGGAAACGCCTGGTTCTTCGATACTGTTTAAGGTGAAGCAGTTATGTTCAGTCAGGATGAAGTCACCGTTGTCCTAACTCTACATCCCTCTTTCTGACCCAGATTGCAGGATCCAACTGGTTTTGCTGCCTCCCAGGACCACCCTTCCGTAAGTCCCCAGTAAGAAGCACTCTGCAATCCTGGATCTGTCTGCTTCTCTTTCTTTCATCTCATGGCACCTTGGGGCTGAGTTGCTCCTGAGCAGCTGCTATGGACAGTGCTTCTGTGAACAAGGGTGTTGACATGTGTCATCATTTCTCTTGGACACACACCTAGGAATGCTCAAACGCTCTGTGGCCACCTTTCCCAGGAACCACCAAACTGTTTTCCAAACTGGCCGGGTGAAAAAGCTGGGCACGGTGGCCTGGAGGCTGAGACAGGAGGATCCCAACTTCAAAGCCAGCCTCAGCAACTTAGGGAGACTCTGTCTCAAAATGAAAAATAAAGAATGACCGGGGATGAAGCTTAGTGTCAAAGTGCCTCTGGGTTCAGTCCTCAATACTGACACACACACACAAAAGAGCCAGGCGTGGTGGTACACGCCTGTAATCCCAGCAGCTCAGGAGGCCGAGGCAGGAGGATTGTGAGTTCAAAGCCAGCCTCAGCAAAAGCAAGGAGCTAAGCAGCTCAGGGAGACCCTGTCTCTAAATAAAATACAAAACAGGGCTGGGGGTGTGGTTCAGTGATGAGTGCCCCTGAGTTCAATCCCTGGTACCTCCCACAAAAAAAGAAGCAGCCACGTCACTCCACAGTCCTTCAGCAACAGACGGGGTTCTGACCCCACACGGCCTCCTATTGCTGCCTATTACTTGAGCCCAGGGCCTCCCACGTGCTGGGCAGGGATCTACCACTGACCAACTCCTCCATCCCCTTTTAAAAATTTTTATTTTAAAAAAATTCCTGCCATCTTTAATTGGATTAGGATCACTGCTCTTGGTGTCCCTTCAGTTCTGCCCCTGAGGGCCCCTCTCTTTTCATCCTAGTCCCAACTCTGATCTGCAGGGGAAGAGCAGGGCCCCGAGCCTCGGGGCAGCTCATCGGTTCCCAAAGGCTTTCAAGGCCAGATGTGGCACGAAGATTTGGCCATAGGACGGAGGGCCCTCGATCTGGGAGGGTGGACATCCTGGAGGGAGGAGGGAGGGGACCAGGGGGTGCACTGTCGACCCAGTCTGCTGGGAACTGGCCTCGCGGGGACAGCTGCTCTGCACGGGAACAAGAGGGAATTTCCAGGGTTCCTGCAGGGGACAGAGGCAGGCTCTGCTCTGCTGGTTGGCACCTCACCCTCTGTGCCCACAGGGAGCTGGGCTCCTGCCTGTCCCTTTCCAGGCCACCCCTCCCACCTATGCTTGCTGATATCCAGGGTGTTTGTCCCCAGACCGGTTTGCACCTGTCCCGTCTCTCCATTGTGCCCCTGACTATAATTAACTGTTACATAAGTTGCTGAAACTCGAGAACAAATAGAAAAAGTGCGGTGGTTTCTGTGAAAATAAACTTGAATCCCACAGGCCAGATGCTTCAAAGGCGGCTGCAGGCCGACAGGTCTTCTGAAGGCACGGAGGGCTCTATCTCCACTTTAGAGAGTCAAGCCCAGAGGGCGACGACGACACTGTCCCATGGGGTGGGGTAGGCAAGAGGTGTCGTCCAGTCTTAGGTCGCTGCCAGGCTCCAAGGAGAGAGGTCTGAGGTCCCCACCAATAGAATCATGAGAATCTGTCACCTACGCGAGTTAAAGCCAACGGTTCAAGGCATCACGGACCCTCAGCACCGCGCTCCCATTCAACCTAGCGCCTTCTGTAACTGGCACCTGCTGGTCCCCCCACCCCCCGCAGTGAGACCAAAGAACTCTGCTTCATGACAGCCTCCAGCGTGGGGGACAGAGGGAGTAGACCCAGGGTCAGAAGGAGGAGGGACACTGAGGGAGGCGCCAGACTCCAGGCCGATGGCTTTCTGCCCCCCCTGGACCCAGGCACCAGCCCTGTGCATGAGGCAGGGCTGGGGTAACAGCCCCCCTCCCCAGATGTTGCAAGTGAGGCCCCTATGGGCAGCGTAGATCTGCAAATGACACCTGAGTCTCTGGGGGCTTGGCTCGGCTCCTTTGCCACGGAGGGGGCTGGGCAGGCCTGTGTTAAGAAATGCCACCAGTGGAAAATTCACGTCACTTGCCAGAAATAAAAAGTAACCACAAGGTAAGCCCCACGAGGCCAATAATGTAATTAAATCCCAGGCCGACGACACTGTCCCACTGTCAATTGGAGGCCGGACTCAGCCTACACCTCTTCTCCCCTGGACATAAGGGTACACAGCCCATGTCACAGAGGCGGTCACCCTCTAGGACACCCCACGAGGTGCTGGGGCACCCAACGGTTGTTTCCTCCCTGCCTAACCACAAGAGTGGAGAGAGACTTGAAAGGTGGCTTCTGCACCTACCCGGAACTTTCCCTCCGTGGAAGTCGGCACTAGTTAATGCCAGGTCCACATAGCACCAAATGGACTCCCCAGGGGGACATGGCCACACCAGCGACAAGGAAGGGCTTGCTTGGTGAACCTGCATCCAAATCGGATGCACTGGGGCCTACAGTTCAAGGCCTCCGCCACCCGGCCAGCTCCCCCGGGCAGGGGACCCCCAGGCGTGCCCATCTGCCGACACCGGGGACTTGCGCTCCGTGCCCCTGCTCAGTTTCCTGAGTCTGGTTAGTAGAAAGGCAAGTCCCAGGGTTCAGCCATGCTGGGGATGCTGGGAGGAGAGACCCAACCCTAGGCCCCAGCGCCAGGTCCTGCCCCCTCTGTCCTCTCCCGACGCCCCCCTCCCACCAGGGGAGCCTGCGCTATTCCCCCCACGCACTGCATGAGGCCTCCTGGGCCCACCCTGGACGGTCGTCAGTCAAGGAGAGCCCAGGGAATCAGGCCCAGACGAGGTGACTTCAGAGAGGGGTGAGAGGAGGCTGGGGCACCAGGGAGGAGGGGTGGACTGGCCGCCCCGGGAGGCCATGGTCAGGTTCAGAGCAGAGAGAACACAAGGGGAGTTCTGGAAGGCTTGAGGGGAATGTGGCTGGGGCCTGGTTGGCAGGGGGGCCAGCATGGCTGGTGCAGGCTGCTCAGCCCCGTTCTGGGCCTGCGCGGCGTGAGCCTCCCTCTCCCCAGGCCTTGCCCTCCTTCCACCCTCCACGACTCAGGGCTGGCAGCTGGGTGGGGGTGAGGGGAGCCAAGGGGGCACCTGGCGTCTGCCCAGGTTCCTGCATGGATGTGGAGGAGGAGTGAGCCTGGGGGATGGCGTGAGTTTGGCTCCGGGCAGCAGGAGGGGTCGTGGGCCCTGCAGGAAGACGTCCAGTCTGCCTGGGTGGGAGTTCTCGGCCAAGCTCCTGCCACAGCTTCCGAGCCAGCTCCAGCCCTGATCTGTCTGCTGCAAGGGCAGCCCAAGGCCACCAGCGCCCCCAGGTGGATGATTTGAGAATGACTGAGCACCTCAAGCGGCAGCCTCCATCAACCCATCTGAATCCTCCTCCACCCCCCACCTGATCTGGGGCCCCAGAAAGCTCACTGGACTTGTTGGTTTTGTTATGTGCAAACTGGGATTCTATCCTTCAGATAGCTGGGCTTCCTCCCCACACCATTTATTTTCACTGGCAGGGCCAATAGGTGACGGGAGGACATAGCCACACAGTGACCTCAGAGGTCTCAGAAATCCAGAAGATTCAAATTCTAATCATAGTCAAGGGCAGGGGACCCTAGCTCCTAATGACATCACTATCCCCATCCCCTGCCAGGCCACCTGCAGGGCCGACTTCACTTGGCTGCTCAGGCCCCGCTCTGATCCCTCCACTTGAAACACTTTCAAACAGGTCATAGGTGGTTTGTTTGTTTTCTTTTTTCTTTTCCATTTGTTTTGGGGTTGGGGGTGACATATTTGCAGGGTGAAGGAATCCCAGCACTCTGAGGGCTATGCACTTAGAGTTAGGGTCCTGCCACCTCAACATGGGCAGGGTGGTGTTTTGATGAAACCGCTCTGAGCCACTGTAACTTCAGAAAGAGCCCCTGGCCCATCATTTCCTACCTGCAGAGGGCACAGGATTCTCTCTGGAGCTATGTCCCTCATATACCACGACAGGAGAAGAGCCCTGGCGCCCAGAGCCCAGGGACTGGAAGGCACTAACCCTGCACAAAGAGGCTCTCCTGGAGCAGGCTGGGGTGGTGGCTCAGTGGTAGAGTAGCATGTGTGAGGCACTGGGCTCGATTCTCAGCACACAAATAAATAAATAAATAAATAAATAAGGTTCCTTAACACACAAAAATATTTTTTTAAAAAAGAGGCTCTTGAGCAACCCTTTACCTCCCACAAGCCGCCACCCCCCCACCCCCTCCTACACATCTTAACGCCACCCCTAAAATTTACTACTCAAGTCCAGGTATCCATCTGCCCTATCATTCCTTCATGATTTTATTAGTTTTTGTCCAAAAATGTAAAAAGTATCATGTTTTCATCATTTTGGGGGGCTTCACTCTCATGTGAAGATCTCCATGTGCATGTGGAATTGATAAAACTTCAGTGCTACCAGCCTCATGCCTGTGATCCCAGTGGCTGAGGAGGCTGAGGCAGTAGCATCACAAGTTCAAAGCCAGCCTCAGCATCTTAGCAAGGCCCCAAGCAATTTAGCGAGATCCTCTCTCTAAATAAAACATAAAAAGAGAGCTGGATGTGGTTCCATGCTTCTGGGTTACATCCCCAGTACCACACACACACACACACACACACACACACACACGGGTGCTTTTGTTAATTGGCGCCTACATTCGTCCGCTGGGTTCCTAGATCCAGCTGGAGACCCCACAGAAGGACCAAGGGGCGGCCAGGGGATCTCTCCCAGCCTTCTGCATCCTGTTGTCTCTCCCTGTCCCTCTGGAACCATTCAGTCCCAAGGCATGAGGTAGGGCTGAGAGGCAAGCGGATGTCCCCCTGAGTGTGTCGGGGTCCAGGGCTCTGGTGACAACAGAAGCGCAGAAGGCAGCTGCTGGAGCAGTTGGGTGAGTATCGCGGGCTTTGGGGGCCATGGGATTTCTGTTGAGGCTCCTTGAATGAACTGGACGGTGCCCCAGAGGAATTTCAATTGCAGGCCACAGGTGGGTCAATGGCGCCAAGGCCAAATTCTCCTCACGATTCGTCGAAAGATCTAAATGGCCTTTATGAGCGACTTGTAAGTGGGGGTAGCTTCTCATGTTGCAAAACAGACCCGACGCTGAGCAGGGAGGGGGCTCTGTGGGCAGGACGGGCTGAAGCAAGCAGAGAGAAGGAATCAAAGGGTGGACTGGCCATTTCCAAGTGCCTTTCCTCACAGAGTGAAAACAGAAGGGACTTCCGGTCACCAGCTCAGGTGATCTGGGC